ACCGCCGACTGAAATCCAAGGCCCCGGCTGGATGCAATCCTTCTGCTTGTGCCCACTTGTCGGCCTGGCTTGACGGACAGTGGTTTGTTGGGTGGCCTACCTATCTCATCCCCCCCTTGCCTGGATCTTCGACTTGTACAACTCCGAGTAGATCCCCCGGTCGTGGTCAATGAAGCGGAAGGAAACTGGGAGGCGTCAGTAACCAAACCCCACAAATGCCGCATGCAGCCCGAATGGAGAACAAAAAGAAACTGAGTGGAGTGCACACCCGACGACTGCCATTGTAGGTCCGGAGCTTGCAATGCCATGGCATGCGGAAAGTTTGCAATGTGCTTCTATGTCTGTCATGTCTAAAACCCAGTGCCGACATAGTGGCTTACTAAACCCGTCCCCCTACGCCGTAATAGTGGCTTAAGTTAGAGATATAATTATAGTACGACCCAGTGCCGACATAGTGGCTTACTAAACCCGTCCCCCTATGCCGTAAAAGTGGCTTAAGTTAGAAATATAGTTATAGTACGACCCAGTGCCGACATAGTGGCTTACTAAACTGCCCGTCCCCCTATGCCGTAATAGTGGCTTCAGATCCAAAGTAAATGCTGGGGTGCCATGATCCATGTTCCAGTTTGTGTCGTTCATGCTAGTGCATGGATCATGTCAATCAAAGACTAAAGCCAGCTTCCACATGCGCCTACGAGGCAAAATGCCTGAGGGCAGATAGTGAAATCACAACAAAAATGACATCACACTGCGCACTGCTTCAGATTTCCCGCATATATACATGTATATATATATTGAATTAGCCACCGGAAACTGAGACTTGGAAACAGGCTCCGCGCATGATATTGGAAGACCCCCCCCAGGATACATTACGGCCTGACCCCTCTCAGTGCCTACCCCAGTACCACCCCCCCCAGGATACATTATCTAGGCATGGTGATGCTGCAACCGACAATGCTGTTGCACCGCCGCGAATTGCGTGATCTTTGGCTGCACCAACCTTCACCAAGAAGCGGGCAACGTGACTGTGCCCGTTGGCAGCCGCTAAAAACAATGGTGTTACTTCATGGCCTGTTGAGGGTCGGCTCGTTTCACTACCTGCTTCAACAAGCAAGCTAACAGCATCAAGATGGCCATGTTGAGCTGCCATGTGTAAGGGCACCAAGCCTTCCGCTGTGTCAGGTGCATCTTTCTCTGCCCCTGCTTCAAGCAACACCTGCATAGCTTTTACATGTCCCTCTCTTGCAGCCCTGTGTAGTGATGTCTTGCCATCTTCACCAGCCGTATTGGGATTTAAAGGCCGTCGAAGCAACGCTTCAAGCGCCGCTAGATCGTTCTCCGCAGAGGCAGATACCATTGCCATGTGCCCTCCTTCAGCATCTGCGCAAAATTCCAAGACCACCAGGCAAACTTTCACGGGTGAAGCAAAAATCTCATCATCCTGAAACTCTCGGGAACCATCTTCTTAAAAGAGTTTTTGTCTGAACCTCGATGCACCAACTCGAGTTGCCAAGGATTGCTTCAAATCCTTTGCAGATTTCTCTTCAAACTCATCTGCACACAGAACTGCCACGGTCTCACCGGATGCTAGGTAGCATACCTCCATTGCGACAGTATCCGAGGCAGAATGAAATGAAGAGACTTGTAATGTCTAAGTTGTTTTGGCTGTCCAATCCTGCCCGATATTTCTCTTGCAGCATATAGTCTTTCATGACACCTTGAGACAAGTTGGATACGTTGAAAGAAGTCAAAGTGTCCGACAGCTGTGCATCAAGTCTTGAGTCTTGAGCATTTCTTGACACTGGCACCCGTTCCAACGAACCTTGTTTTGCACCATGAATAGATGACAGACTGATACACACGGAAATGAAACATAATGAAATATGATCAAAGCAGAGCAACAGGCTTCAAAACGAGCTCAAGGAGGCCCCCTAAGCATCCAGAAACTCAATTCTGATGGCCGGATCTACAGTTTCCTCCAAGAGGCTGTTACAGTCGATCATCTCCCCCACCTTGGGCCGGACCTCGAAACAAAGCACTGGAGCTTGTCCATTCTTCGCGGGCAGCTGGCAATTCAGACCAAATCCGGAAAACTGCCGAAAGGAATTGACCAAGGCCTAAGCCGGGAAAACACCTGCTTTCCAACGGTCAAACAACCAATAACCCGCGAACCCGAAGCCCCTAAACCCCTACTAAACCCTAAACCCCTGAACCCTAAGCCCTAAACCACACATCTTCAAACCACGTTCTGCCTGGTCTCAAAGGCTCGCCGGCCAAAGCTCGGCGGCGTGCCTCACCAGTCACAAGAGTACAAGCTTGTCCCCATGGCTCGCAATTTAGGGGTTCGGGGGGTTCGGGCAACTCGGGTATGAACACAGTGATCAGCGGATGCACAAGCATCATCTGTCCTAGGAAATCGCTCGACGCCGTCAGACGAAGTCCAGTCACGCTCTCCCGAAGATCAACGGGGACGTCCAGCGACCGGATGGAGGAAGACCTGCAGATGCACAAGAAGGACCATATGAGTCGTGCGGAGCTGCAGCAATCCACAATGAAACAGTCGAATAATGCACTAAATTACTTCATCCCTAAACGGACCTAACTGACCACGTGCACAAGAAGCCATCTCAGAAGGAACACGATCAAAACGATGCAGGATCCCGGCCCGCCTCCGAAGAAGCTGCGATAGCTCGCGTGCGTGCACAGCATCTGGCAGGAGGATCGCAAAACCTTGAAAAGCTATGCCAAGACCAGGGCAAAAGATGAGATCGAAGTTTAGGGTTTAGGGTTTAGGCTCTGCTGCAACTGCAATCATTCATTGGCAACATCACATGCACATGCTGAACACTCAGGAGGACGACAGCAGCCAGCGGGCACATGTAAACTTCTCCAAAGTCTATGCCAGAGTCTAAGAGGAGCATATAATATATCGCATGCAACTTTCGTGAGCCAACAGCTTTCGGTCGGACAGACCATGAGCATCCAAATGCACCCGAACCAAGTGCGCGAAAGATCACTGCGGCTTGCGGTTGCCGTTGAGACTCTTCCGGCTACAGGAGAGAAAGCTCTAGGGAAGACATGAGTTCCAGGGTCTCTCATGCCAGTAAGCGGTCGCAGTCCCCCACACTCTCGGGTCATAAGGGAACTCTGGGAAACCTCTGCATCGGGCTCCACATCATCCAAAGGCCTGTCACAGGAGGCCTCCGGGGTCGCGATCAATCGTAGGTTCTGCAACAGCAGCGATGGCTATGAGTATGATAGGGGGCAAGCAGGACAGCATAGGATGGACCAGGATAGGATGAGGACTGGGAGATACTATGGTGCGATGCTGGAAGTTAAGGTACGTCACCGCCAATGCTGCCACGGCCACTATCGCTAATTGAAACCGCCATGGCTAAGAAAAAACCTGGGCCATCGTTGAAAGCTCAACAACCATCATCATACTGTTGCCTTGTGCCTCATGAGAGATGAAGAACTCCTGAAGATCAGAGAGATGAAGTCGAACTCCGCTGCATCGCTCCTGACTTTAGGATGACATGGCTTCGCTTGTTGGCATAAACAACGGGAGTTGACTACCACATTCAACCAATGTAACATGCCAGCTACTAAACGCTACGCTATGCCCGTATGTCATGTCTGATCTTCGTGCTTGACCTTCTGGGCCTCTGAAGTCCCGAAGATATCTGAGGTACGAACGCTACTTATACTGTTCCACAGACCTCTCAGCCAGCTTGCAAACGAGGGCATGAATCCGGGCGCCTACTTCTCACATGCAGCCTCGCTGCATGAATACTCTGACAATCTACCAACATAGTCCAACATATTCTAGCATTTTATTCTGCATCAACGCCAGCACAATCTTCTCTCCCCACCAGCGAACCAACACCTCCTAAGAACAAATGTTCTTTCGTGGACCTCTACATACGGATTGTGGAATATGTATCTAACTGTTTCTCTCCCGGCGCCGATCTCAAGCATGTCTGGATGGTTCCAACCCTTTCGCAAAAACTTCACATGAAGATGTGAACTATTCTCAAGAGCACATGGCACAATATGACTGCTGTCTAGCCTACAAGAGACAGCCGTAGACGAGCATGAAGCGGCATGCTTGCATCGCATCTAGCAGCTAGCAAGCTACAGCCGGATAGAACTTCATATAATATCTTGTGATGCCCTAATTGACCCCCACATGCAAGAGGTGATGGACCACCGTCACGTGGCTTCAAAGCCAAAAACAAAATTTTGGAAACTAAGACCGGCACGGGGCGTGAAGAACCATACTGCTTACAAGAATCAGTATGCCAGACTCTGCCCTTTCTCTGACGACCATCCGCTGCCAAGAATCGGTACGGCAACATCAAGACACCCGTTGGCAGCGTCAGGCGTTGGTGATACAACGTCACGATCACGAAACGCGTCGGTCACTGCCCACGCTGAGAGTATACAAACAACAGAAGGCAAGGAGGCGCAAGCGCCACGCATGAGCATTGCAACTGGCTTGGGCCACACTTGGCAATCGGAAAAACTTGTTCATGACAAAGAGGTACAAACATGGCAGGCACAAGCTCACAAGCTGCACCGTAGCAGGTTGATCCTTCTTAGAACACACGAAAAGCAAGAAACGTGCATCCGCAGCCTGTGCTAAGTGTCCAGACCCAGAGATTCCCTCGAGCTACTCCAAAGGTAGCCGCAGCTCTGCAGTGGGACCATGTGAAGTCTTCTCGCGTCTGCTCGGAGACTCTGCTTTGCAGTGGTTTAGGGTTTAGGGGTTTAGGATTTAGGGTTTACTTCAGCCTCAGGGCCGCTCATGTAGTTAACTGACTTGCTGATGCACATGCCAGGTCTGAGCCAGTCTTCTTGCTGCGGCTATAAGTTAGCATGACCGTGAGAGGAGGCCACAAGTGCAGGTGCAGCTCAAGCTTACGCTGACTGAGCCCCTTTGTTTCGGACGCGGGCTCAACCTCCGGGGTTGTTGCTAAGCCCCCATGGAAAAACTCTGCTCAGCGGAAAATGGAGCCGATAGCGCCGCCGATAGCACCGCCCACGTCCTCTAAGTGACCACCTACCTTGTTCACGGCGTCTTTCGCTTCTCCTGTGATCTTCATGGTGTGCGCTCCACCAGCTTTAAAGAAATCAGCTGCCGCTTCAGCTCCTTTTTCGAAGCCGTGGCCGATCTTTTCGACCACCACTTCCCCGTGCTGCAGAGACGCTTCCGATAGCTCTGCCAACTCCTTCGTCGCGGCGTTGAAAGTCTGGTCGGCGGCGTCTGCGATCTCCTTGCCCACCTTCACAACCATTCGAGCGCCTGCCTGTAAGAGTAAGAGGAGGTTCTCGAAGCCATTTCCACAGCTGTCATAGATGCCCTTGATGGCAAAGCAGAATGCCATCTTGTCCCCCTTCTGCTGGATGAAAGCCTCGAACACCGTTGCCTCGAACTTGAGTCCGAAGCTGTTCTCACAGATTCTGTAGTCGCGCCACCAGATCCTCAGTGTTTTGCATTGCCTCTTGATGTACAGCTTGAATGACACCCCGACGCTCGTCAGGACGTCCACGACAGCCCCAATGCCCTTGCCGAGGAGGCCGACCACGGCTTGTACGGGAGGGCTCTGAAACTTGTCTAGGATCTTCTGCTGGATGTCTGCCATGATGTTGTCGTTCGCGAGGCCACCCGCTGCCACGCTCACATAAAGGCCGATTTCGTCCTTGGTCTTCCTAAAAAAAGTGGAGGCAGAAGCGACGGTCACGTCCAAGTCCTGGAACATGCCATGAGACCACTTCTTCAATGGAATGGTGATCCCAAGCTTGCCGTCAACACCCATGGCAACGTCGTTTCGCAGGACCTCCCTGAGGAACTGGGTTGCTTCATCAGGGGTGAAGAGGTTCAAGAGGCCAGAGGTGCCGTGAATCCCATTGATGAAGTTGTTCAGCATTGGCACTTTGCTCACCTGGCTCATGAAGCCGTTGCGATCTGGATCAAAGTCGACGAGGCACCTGGGTTTAGGGGTTTGGGCATAGGATTTGGTGCTAAGGGTTTCGGGTTAAGGGTCTCTGGCTTAGGGGCTTAGGAGTCTGCTGGATCGGGGGGCTGTATGCTCGGAGAGGAGGGGGGGGGCCAAGGGATTCTGACTCCGGCAAAGCGCTTGGAGTCGATGAAGACTGAGAAGTCTCCGATGTCCGTCCCTTCTTGCCTTAGTAGTTAGGGTGATGTTTTGAGGCATATTCACCATAACCCGCAAGAACAGTGTCTCTAGTATCAATTTATTCAGGAGCCCTAAAGAATGCCCTAACACTAAACCCTAAAGCCTGAGTGTACCCCAGCCGCTTCAGGAGGTCGGCGAGATCGAGCTTCACCCCAGCATAGATGTTACCCATCATCGAGTCGCACTTGCCTGGGTTGTAGTCTTAGGGATTGTGAGAAGGTACCTATAACAGGGTTTAGGGTTTGGGGTTGTGGGGAATGAGAAGGTACCTATAGTAGGACCATAAGGGAAAGTTTACAGTTATAATAGGACCGAGCATGAGGGAAAGTTTAAAGTTATAACAGGACCCTAAGGGAAAGTTTAAAGTTCTATTAGGACCATAACCGAAAGCTTAAAGCTGTAACAAGACCATAAGGGAAAGGTTAAAGTCTCCCAAAATGCCACCTAGTTGCCCTCACATTCCCAGAACTTGTTGGAGAAACCCATCTCCATCTTCGGGGCACCAGAGGAGGGAAAACTTACACCCACCGCGACCGTGTCGACCAACTTGGACGCGGCTTCGATAGCTTTGCCTGTTCCAGGGACGGGCACATGCAAGTTCTTGACGCCCGGGTTGCCCACAAAGAGCTTCGGCTGGAAGATGAGAAGTCCAGTTCCATGGGCCACACTGCTTCCACTCATGAGCTGGGCAAAGCAAAGGCTGCCACCTTCAAAAATGCTCGGAATTGTGGGCACCTTTATTCCGAACAAGAAATACTTCTCTGTCTTCACGACTGGCAAGTTCCCACATTTGGTGTCGCCCATTTGCGTTGACTTCTTATCCAAGATCTGCGATCCCATGTAGTCCCCGACGACAATCACTGGGATCATGCTGCAGACCTTGTTCTTCCTGGCGGCAGCGCCAGAGGCATGGTCGTACTCATCTATCGTGCACATCTCTGCAATCTTCGAGGTGAGGTCGTACAAGACACCCTCCTTCTTGGTGACACTCTCCGCGGGCTTCACCTTTTGCACCTGCTGGCTGGAAGACGTTATGGTGGAAACGATCTGCTGGCTGCCGCATCCGCCCGAATATCCGGGCCAGTCTTTCTGCGCAAAGATCGCGCCACTTCCCGAGCTGCAAGAGCATCCAGTGGCCGGGGAAGTGCCATGGGAGCCCGGGGGGCAGGGCCTGCACTTAGAATAGTCCGACTGGCCACGGCAAGGGTCTGCCTGACAAAGGCATGTGTTTGGGTAGTTCCTGCAGGAACAGGATCCTTTGATGGAGCCCTCGGTGCAGGTGTCCTTTGGAGCCTCCAGGAAAAGATATGACCCACGCACGGAGCATCCTGCGACCACATCTGGGAAGGTCGATCCCCATCCGGCAAAGTTGTGGGTGATGCTGTAGCCGAGCAGGTCAGCGGCTTTCTTGCAAGCCTCTCGATCATAAATGCCCACCATTCCGTGAACCTCGCAAGTTCCTGTAGTGATGGCGGCAAAGGGCACCTCGATTTTCTTGTAGGATGCCCATGGGTGCCCTCCGCCCACATCGAACTTATTCTTGTACCACACATGCCGTGGGAAGTGGCTGCCACTCATTGTGAAGCCTTTGCATGACCCGTTGTCAGCACAATGGTGCTTTGCTGCTTGAAGCGAGCTTGTCGAAGAACTGTCCACATCGCCACCTGCATTTATCCAACCTGAACGTGATTCCCAATCAGCAGTTCTGCGGATGAAGACATTTAAACCCCCATGACGAGCTCCGGGAGTTTTGGAGATTCGAAACATGCCCTCTACACAGTCCGGATAGACGTTGTTCTCCACGTACAGTCCTTTGCAGTGGTCATGGTGTTCATATGTGATCCATGGGTCTTCCACAACACCATGCCGCCGGTACATCCGGGCTTTGTACGGCGTGTTCGAAATGTGCGATTTTAAGACCTCTCTGTCGTTGTTGGCGTACCAACCGAGCACCTCGGACCTTTTCATGATCATCCACTTTGCGCAGTCCCCGGTCGCGAAGAGGAACTCATTGAACGGTAAGTTGCTGAACTTCACGCTGAAGGCAGGCCCCAGTGGATTGTGATGGGCCGGACCGTGCTCACTGGTACCAACCAACTGATCTGTATCTTTGAAAGATACATAGGTTGTGCGACGCACAAGGTACCAACCTGATCCGACGGCGCTATTGCATGTTGATGCATCACCCCTGGTGTGCCGGATGAACACGTTCAAGCCCTGATGCTTTGTGCCGAGATTATTTGACCCGCAGTGGGGAACGAGGTTGTTCTCCACGTACAGTCCTTTGCAGTGGTCATGGTGTTCATACGTGATCCATGGGTCTTCCACAACACCATGCCGCCGGTACATCCGGGCTTTGTACGGCGTGTCCGAAATGTGCGATTTCAAAACCTCTCTGTCGTTGTTGGCGTACCAACCGAGCACCTCGGACCTCTTCATGATCATCCACTTTGCGCAGTCCCCGGTCGCGAAGAGGAACTCATCGAAGTGAGCGGTGTCGAACTTTTTGCTGAATGCTGGCCCTCGGGGATTGCTGTGTGCCGTTCCATGCTCGCTGGTACCAGTAAGCTGATCCGTGTCGCGGAAGGTGCTCCCCTCCGTGCGACGCACCAAACCCCAACCATCACCCACCTCATAGCCGCACATCGTGGCATCTCCACCGCCCAACTCCAGATGCTCGTAAGACCCCGCTGCCGAAGCAAGATCTCCCGTGGCCGTTTCGTCAAGGAGCAAGCCTTGGCAGCGCGAGCAGGACGTGCAAGGCCAAGGAACATGAGGGAACTCTACAAACCTAAATCCAAGCCTTAACCCTAAACCCCATGGAGAGGTCTCGCCTGCAGTCTCTTCCTGTGGTGCTTCCTCAGCAGTAGCCGCAGGTGGCACCGAAGGCGGCAGCCCCTCCCTGAGCATGGTATGTCTCTGAGCATGAAAGAAAAGGGCTTGGGGGTTTGGGGTTTAGGGTTCAGGGTTGTAGGGCTCGGGGAGTTCACAGTGGGGTTTGGGGTTTGAGTTTAGGGAGCCAGCCAAGTATCTTCGCATCAGAAGAAGTTGAGGTTGACATGTTGGCAGGAACCGGTGACGATGCGAGCGTCTCGATGGAGATACCCTCCTGGCCAAGCGCACATTGAACCACATGCCGTAGCGCAAGAAGAGACATCGAATCTGGCCTTTATGTCACGACCGACAGACTTCGAAACAGCACCGATGCCATGAAGCCTTTCCAAAACAACAGATCTTCACATACTCCAAGCTTGTACCCTTGGCTTGAAGAGCAACAACTCAGCTCCGGTCTCATCGGCTGATGTCGGAGCGCTGACGATAGCACCTCACAGCTCTGATTATCCCTGAAATAAGATGTTGAGGGCCAGTTGATTACTTTCCGCGTGCAAGTCAGCATCCGGGCATGGTGAGGCAGCACAGTAAGCTGCTGACTGCTGTTGAGCAGCACTGTCGGCTCCGTGGACAGCACGACCTTTGCCTTGGAAAATCGGGACCAGATCAGATCCGCTGCCATGCCCTGTGCCTAGCCGGACGCAAAGGCTTTGGGTTTAGGGTTCGGGGATTGGGGGGGTTTTTGGGGGTTTCGAAGGCAAGACGCGGAAGGAGTCTTCCTGGCGCTGCCAACGGCCAGGACGAGCGCGAGGACTGCGAACATTGGAATGGCCTGGGGTGGCCTCGCCAGCCGCGGCAGATCTACAAAGGACAAAAGAAAAAGAAAGGACAGCACCTTCAGCGGGGAAGCTTGGGCGCCAGCCGCTTCGTTAAACCCGTGCCCTGAGAGGACAATTTGGGGCCCAGCCTGAGCCAAACCCGGGCTGCGGAACGAAGGCCGTTTGCAGGCAGAGGGTTGGCAAGTTGCGGGGCTTCTGGCAACTCAAATGGCACACGGTTCACAACAGCAGCATGTTCAGCACCAGCCGCGGGGACAACTTCCCGTCACTCGTCGGCTAAATTCGTCCCTGCCAACTCCGTCATTTCGTGACCAGTAGCGCTTATCGAAACTCGCACTGGTACCACCTGGTGACCCCGTATAATCAACCCTCAACCCTAAACCCTAAACTCCGAACACATTCTAAACACCAAACCCTAAACTGAAGCTCTAGGCCTGCATTCGGGGCTGTTCGTTACCGACCTTCAAGCGATATGATCATGAATCTGATCTTGGAATGGGTTCTTGTTAAGGAGCTTTAAATTAACTTCCTATAGCAAAAGATATAGTTTCTTAATTACGGTAACTTAAGTTACACCCCTTACCAAGAACTCAGTAGAGTAACCGTGTAGAACCCTCCACATGCCTCCTCATGCAAGCAGAACACAGCTTGGAGTTCTTGGGCTATTATCTATATCCGTATACATACAACCATTTAGGTACACTCTATGAAAAGTTTTACTACATTTTCGACTCTCGGGCGGGAGTATGTGCATGTGCGTCTGCCCGCGCAGGCTTCGGGGGGGTCCAAGACTTCAGCGATGCTTGACACTGAGACGTCAAAGCACAAGGCTTGGGGGTTGGGGTTTAGGTTTTGTAACACACATGATCTGAGGACACCTTCCATGCGCCACAGTAACCGTGGGGCCAAGGCGTCGAGAGTCGGTCGTCGTGGTCGCTAGAACTTCAAGTGACTCGAAAACAAGTCCATCTACAGACTAAACTGTGGCCATAGGCCCATCAGGCTCATGCGGCAAGCGTGGAGGATTTTTGCAAGCTCTTCAGGCTGAGCTTCGAAGCACATCGCTGCGGCCCAGTGTTTTCCTCATCATCATCTCCATAGAGCCGCAACCATGCACGGGTGATGCAGCCAAAAGAAGAAAGAATCGCCTCACTCAGCCAGAGCACAGCTGAGTAAAGAAAGTTTTGGACTGGCACCAGGCCAGGTGAGCACGACATCCAGGTTTGGTGCAGCGAATGCGGCCATCGCGAGCCGTAGGCTCTGCAATGAGATGCAAGCGGCGCGCCTCAGCAGTCTCATTATGCTGCCGCACACGGCGTTTACGCCAGTTCAGGGTGTGTTGGGCAACAGCAACATCTTGTGGACCTTCATCGGCCATGCCTCCACAGAAACGCTGCTGCCACTTTCGCTTCCACCCTACAAAGTCTGTTGTCTCTTGGCACTTCTCACAATGCAGCGAGTCGTCGCCTTTGCCTTGTGGTCCATAGAAAGGAGCGAGTCGGTGCCACCCTTTACTATCAGCATCCCGATTGTGCAACAAACGCTTTTGTTCACGGGAAATCTGTTTTTTGCTCAAACCGGGTATGTGATAAGGCTGAGTTGCGTCCCAAGGCACTTGGTCCCGAACCTCTTGAACATTAGAGGGCTGATGCTGAGGCTCATGAAGGTTGGGCAGGTGCTCAGGCCTACTGCTTCTAGCATCTGGTCTCGGGGGTCGGGGTAGGTCTAGCGAGACATGTGGGTTCCACAACGCCTCGCCTAACTGCCCAAACTGCGGTATGAAGGCAAGCTTACTGTTCTTTTGCAAATGATCCAAGGCAGCTTGATACAACACCCTATTGACAACGTCACGGCGCAGCAACAAGGGCCTCATAAGGAAAGCCACCTGCGTTGGGGAGACCCAAAGGGGTCAAGCTGCGGGCGAGATTGTTCGTAAAAGGATCAACTGGAGCAGACGAATCTTGGCACATGACCGCCATGTGCCTGGCAGCAGACGCGAAAAAGATAGCTCTCTTACCGGCTAGCTCCTTCTCACCATTGCCGTCAGACTGGCAAAGTCCCATGTGAGTACAAGCTTGAAAGTCCAGCGCCAATTCGAGCCATGTGACATGTTCTCCGTTGTAAGCTTTCAAGTCGGCCACCTGGGGCCACTGAAGCTGTCGAAATAGCAAATCAAAGGCTCAAAAAGTCGCTCAGGATATCTCCAGCGCAGAATTTTCTTGGATTTCTTGCGCTCCTGGGGGCTCGGCACCGAACCCCAAAAGCTAGTAAAACAAGCACCCTCAGGAGCGTGCCACGCAAAGCCAGGAAAAGCTGCCTGCTGGACAGATGCTTCATCAGCAGGGTCCTCTACGGCATGGGGCTGTGCAGGGGGTTTTAATGGCGGTCTTTCGCGCAAGGTGCACTCGGGAAGCGACGTATGCGTTGGGTTTCCAGGTAGTGGTGTTTTGCGATCGCAGAAATCTGAGGGCATGCAGCCCCTGCAACCGCCCATTCATCGGCAGCGTCATTGTATTGCTCGTGTAGCAAAAGCTGATCATCGCCATGGCAGTCCTCAATCTTGCTATGACCTTTAACCTTGGTGATCTTGAGGCGGTCAACCCAGTCAGTTTGGATTCTCTGCTAGAGATCAAGGTGACTAGACATGCCATGGGTACCCTGCGAAGCTAGATTGGCAAAACCTAGTTCAACCGTTTCATTGTCAGTGAGAAGTTCTTGGTCCCCCCATGCCCAGTGAATCCATCAGCGCGCACGGAGGTTTGGCATGCAGTGGCTGGCGCAAAGCTGCAGTTAAGCGGGTGATTGGTACCATAGAAAAGGCCGCAACCGGCTCGGCGTAGTCTAGACTCCTACTGCTGATTAGGGCAAGCCCCATCCGCAGCCACCAACGTGTGCCCATCACGGGAACGGGTCCCTTGAGAACACTGCAAGGGTGGCAAAGGACACGCAGGTTCCGGAGGCTCCCATGCCAATGGCACGGACAGCGAATCAAGGTGGGCGTTCTCTGGTAGAATGCCACAGCACGCTTCACACGGGAGAGTGGGCACGCCATACTGTTTTACATAGGCTGCTCGTTGATCGGCCCAAGCTGGGCAGTGCCAGTTGATGCGCATGATAGTTTCGTCAACACCAGAGTCACAGAAGGAACATGCTGGGGAGGGGACCTGTTCCATCCGCCACCGTCGCCTCCAAGTAAAAATTGAATCAGTGAGGAGCTGACGCAGGATGGCACGTCCCGCCCCTTTGATTTTCATTTTTGTGAAAAGCTCAAACTCATCACACGCTGCAAGCTCAGCATCGGCCAGTGCAGACGTGGCTTGGCACTGGCTACGCGATTTGAGAAGAGCGGTTGATGCATGGATGTTAACCTCTGACTCGGCTCCGTCGAAGGACTCACGCCAGGTCGACTGCTTACCACACTTGCGGCTAGCTTCTTCGCGCCAGCGCATTTGACGTGTGGCGTTGCGCAGTGTGTGCTTCCACCACTCATCTTCCTGTTCAAGCCACGGAAAAGAGCAACCGTTAGACATTTTTGAAAATGAAGGGGTCATCGTCCCATGTCCACTGCATCTTTTTAACCAGGCATTGCAGACGGTCTAAAGGAAAAAACACCCTTGTGGCCATTGCACTGGCCTTGTTGCACCTTCAAGTGCCAGGTTTTTGCTGGCAATTCCGCAAATCGGGACGCCTGTTGAGCAGGCGGCGCAAAGTGGCCAGCGGGTAGTATACCAGGTGCTGGACCGGGTCCAGTCGAGGACACTGTCCAAGTAGTGTCAATGAAGAAGCCACATGCTTAAAGCGCCTACGCGCTCCAAACATAGCAAACATGTGCGCCTTCGAGAGTTTGGCAACTTGGCCACACGTAGGATGGGCTAACTCAAGCCCAAAACAAGACTGTGCGGAGCTGGTGCTCCCAACAAGCTTGAGTCTTGCATCTAGCGGCAAAGGTAGGTCGCTGATGAGAAAACATGAGTCGGCAGCCTTGGTCACCTTCGGATGAAAGTGTTTGGTAGCGTCACTTGCACGTGTGCAGCAAGCCGCCTACAATGACAAGATGATCGTGAACCTCGATATGAAAACCAGCTTGCCGCAGAGCATGTCGCAGCTTTGCCCGCTGCGCTGGCTTGATGGCCAAACCTTTGGTTTTTGACAAGTTCAACTGGCAACCACTAAGCCGATCAAACTCAAAAGAGACCTGGAGTTCCCGAGTTAAACGGACAAGCCACTTATTGATTTCAAGCTCGTTATCGCCATCCCGCAACAATCACCTACTCTGAAAGTGCTATTTTTTTTTGGCGTGGGCGGGCCTCGTCGACTACGGCTGTAGCACTCGGTCCCAGTAAGAAGTGAATGTAAACAAGAAGATAATGAAGAACTGTACAAAAAGATCCTAATGGGTGAAACAGGTCGCGACTTGCAGACTTAGCCAGCAGGGATCGTTCGACCATCTAAGTGTAGCGTTGCTAAAACGCTTTACGGGTACGTTCCGGACCCTTTCACTTCACACAGATATTCGCACTAACCTCGGGCGCACGGCTGTCTTGGGTGCGTCCCTTGAGCCTAAACACCACAGTGGAACATTTGTTCCATGCTATACAAAACCATGTGGCAAACAGCTCAACTACAGGATTATAGGGCAACACACTCCTGAGCGAAATGTTTGTTACCCCCTCTTCGTGCATCCTCTTCTGTCCTTTTCCCTTTCTAGAGGTGCTACGAACCCAAAACAGTCGCTCACTCCTCCTTTTGAAACACTCGTTGTGCACTGCTTTTTTGTCGTGGTGTGAGACGAGTGAAACAGAGCTACTCCTACTGGCTGCTCTCAAACTCGTTCACTTCTTTGGCTTTTTCAGCCTCAAAAGAACTCGTGGTGGCCGTAGCCACAAAACTCTTCAAACTCTTTAAACTCTCCTCGTAGAGAAACTCTTCGGCTTCTCGTGGTGCAGCTGTCGTACAGCTTTCAGAAAACTCTTTCCTCGTTCGGGAACGAAGTTCCCCCTCTCGGCCTTACAGCCTTCAGATTCCCTTTTTCTTTATAGACCTCCGGTTTGGTCTCCTCCTTGCTTTCAGACCTGAGGTACGGTCTTCCTCTTTCCTCTTTTTCTTTTAGCTGCTCTTTTGCTGGGCCTTTTTGCCTTTGCCCTTCTCCGCATTGTCGGTGCGGTATTTCTTCTTATTCGTCTCCAACCTGTTGGCGTATGCCCTTCGGATTATCAACTCATTTCTCTTGTACCAGGACTGGAACTGCTCCTTGCTCATTTCTTCTCGTTGCATCTTTGGAGCATACTGCCCTGAGGCAGTATAATTGTAGTCCGCACCCCAGCACGTTTCGGAGCCGTGTCCGAAACGTGAACATACTGCACATACCTGTGCCTGCGTTGAGGCATCAGGGTCTTCTTCCACTTTCACTTCTTCTTTCACAGCCTGCAGCTCATCCTCCAGAGCTTTGTTGTTCTTGCCTAGCTCTTTGATAGTTTCCTTCATCTTTTTCCGTTCCTCTTTCATCTTCTCCACTTCTTCGCTTTGCTGGGCTTGCGTTGATCCTGCACTGCTTTTTCTCTTTTTCACTTTGCGCAGCTCTTCATTCAATTCTCCAATCTCCTTCTCTTTTGCTTCTTTGAGATCCGTGATCTCCTTTTCCTTTTTCTCTAACTCCTCTTTCATTTCTCTCTCTTTGGCCTCCATGATTTCCTTGATCTCTTTTGTATTTTGTTTTCTTTATCTCCATCTCTTCGATCAGCTTCTGATCGCTTTCGCTCAAAAGCAATCTTCCTTCTGGCACTTTCAGCTCCTTCCTTTTACTCTTTAACTCTTCGAGGGCAGCATGGAGCTTAGGGCGGAGCCGGTCCATCTCTTTCATGAGTGCCGACTCCTCATCCATGGTGAGGGTGGCCTCCACTTCTTGCTGCTCCTCCTCTTTCCGCAACTTATCGAGTTGCTTCTCTATGGCCTCCTTGGCCACGAAGGCTTCATCTGCCACTCGCTTCAACTCTTCTTGAACTTCAATCTCTTTTGCAATGAGCCTTTCTCTTTCATCTTCTTTAAGCTTCTTTTGTTTCTGCTTGTAAGCATACAAATCACCATAAATGGCGAATTTCTTTCTCTTTTCATCCACTTTCTCCTGCAGAACCCTCATCTGTGCCAGCAGGTCCTGCACTTTCTTTTCTTCCTCCAGTACTGACTTCTTTGCCAGCTTGTTCATAATCTCTTTGTACTCATCGTCAGTTGACTCAGAGTCCTTTTTCTTTCTCTTCACGCCTTTTTCTTTCTCTTCCTCCTTGTCGGAGCTTTCTTCCTCTTCTTTCTCCGAGCTCTCTTTGTCCTCGCTCTCAGAAGCTTCCTGCTCCTCTTCTTCTTTCTCTTTCTTTTTCTCTTCCTTCTCTTTTGTTTCCTCTGCTTTATCCGCAGTATCATCTGCTCTTTCTTTCTGGCCCTTTCGCCTCTCGGCAGCATCTACAGCCTTTTGCTTCAGTTCATTTATTCTTTCTTCCATAACCCGTGCCTGGCTGTCCTCTGCACCTCCTTTGCTGCCCTGTGCCTCTGCAGCCAATTCCTCGGCTGTCTTTTTGAACTCTTCAGGCACTTTAACCTCCGCCGTTGTGGCTTCTGGCGGGGCTGGCTCTTTAGGCGCAAACTGCTGGTTGAGGCGTTGCACCTCGGGCCATAGAGCGTCGAGGGTTAACCTCCGCTCGCGCTCCCGTTTGAGCTCTGGCTCTCTTTCACAGAGGGTGACGGCCTCTATGCTACGGCATTCATCTCTGATCATCGTCTTGAGGGCTTCGTCGTCTGCCATCTTTTTCAATTCTCTTTTTCTTTTCACTTCTTCTCTCTTCACTTCTTTTCTCCTCACTTCTTTTCTTCTCACTTCCTTCCTTGAGTTGAAAACGGCAGCGGCGGAATAAAACATGCCTTCAGCACTTCCAACCAAACTCTTCCACAAGCTACCGTTGCAAAGCATGACAACAACCATTGTCATCATCATCATCACCATCATCACTAAACCAAAGCATCCACCTTCACTGCTTCTACTGCTTTGCTCTCTTAGTCCATCACATTGCTGAACCATCATCATCATCACCAGTCTTCTCAGCTACTTCGTAGGGATCTTGAAGTCACTTGCTATCCTGACCTCTTCACTCTCTTCTCCAGTTTTCACACCGATTTTCTTCAAACACTTCACAACAGCGTTCCGTGACAAAGCTTTTGTCCCTACGTCTGCAGGGTTCTCCTTTCCAGCTATCGCTTTCACTTGAAGACCTGCCGAAGTAAGCCTTTGAACCCAAAGCAGTCCTGCATCAATGTGCCTCGTTCTTCCTAAGCCTTTCTTCAGAAGGATAGACCTAGCACTGCTAGAATCCATCCGAATCACCATATCTGGCCTAATCCCTAGAACTCTGTGCAACAGGTTCTGTAGAAAAACTCCTTCACTCAAACCTCCAACAGCTGCCACCAGTTCGCTTTCGCAGCTGCTCAAAGCCGTTGCTTTTTGCTTTCTCGCGTGAAAGTAAACGATGTTACTGTTCACGAAAATCAAGACGCAGCTCGTTGACTGCCTATTCTCACGATCGGTCGCCCAGTCGGCGTCGGTCACTACCTCGATCAAACTCTTTGCCGTAAAAACGTCTTTGTCGGCATTCTCAGTTCTCTTATCACTTGGATCCAGAAAACTCTTTCCAGGATATGACTCTTTGTGTTCTATCACATAGTGGGAGGTCGCTTTCACATACTTTGCCACGTGCCTAAGCACTGCTAAGTCTCCTCGTGTTGGCGCTGCCAACTTCCCCGACAACCACTTCGTAGCGAATCCTAAATCAGGTCTCTCTGGTGTCATGTACAATAGGATTCCTACACAGGATCTATACAGATGATGCTCATCTGCATCCAAGGGCGTGTCGTCCTTCAACGATCTTCCGTAATCCATTGGAAACGGCAACTTCTTTGGCAGGGCTTTTCCCAAACCTAAAATCTCTTCCAACTTCTCCAGATACTTGCCGTCCATCCTGATCTCAGTTCCTCCTTTCGTTCCTAAGAACGTCCTCTTCAAGAAAGTACACTTTCCTTCTCCAACCTTCACTGGACCTTCCAGCTTTATCTTCAGCTTGTGCTTCAGCAGCAGATCCACTACTGCTTGATTCTCTTTTGGTTTTCCAAACACTTCCAAATCATCCACATGGGTACTCATAAGCGTTCCACCTTCTCCTGGTGTCTCCGAAAACTTGTAGAAGAAACTTGGTAATCCCACATCGGAAACCATCTTCTCTTTCTCCAGGATTTCACGTAGATGCTCAAACCAGTCACTGCTTCCTGTTCGTTGTCCCGGCAGGGTGTACTGCAGTTGGTACCACTTTCCTCCTAAACTCACAACCGTGTACTCAGTGTACTCCTTCTGCGGCACCTGAAGGTACGCGTCAGAAATGTCTATCGAGATCATCTCGTAGTCTCTTGAACTCGCACACAAAGCTGACAACAGCTTGATACTCGAACCAATACTCGTTGGTGAGTATAACGCTGAGAGATCGTAGTCTGTCAG